ATAGATGCATCTATCCTGCCGAGGCGTTCAGCCTGCTCCACAAGAAAGGAAGACATTTTCTTATGTACCTCCGAAAAAGAGAGTATATTAATTATAAGATCAATTCGAGAGGATGAATAATTTCTCTTAACAATTAATAATTTAAACAGAAAATCAAGCATATGAGGTTTTCATCCTTTAATATTTCTATCTAACAATTCACACACACACACACACACACACACACACACACACACACACACACACACACANATTTTAATTACCTATGGGGTAATTTCCCCCCTCACAAGATTAGACAAGAAACTTACCTCGTCTTGCTCCAATTTAATCCACCAGTAGGCCTTTTCCTCGATTATCCAACTTCGATTGGCTCGAATCTAACCAAAAATAATTCGATACAATCACTAAAATTTATAGGAATCAATTCTATAAGAAAATACTACATTTTCAATAAAAATCCCGAAATTAATTAAAACTTCGTCTGTGGGGACCACGTCTCGGAATCCGGCAAAAGCTACGAAATCTGATAACTCATTCAATTATGAGTCCAACCATACCAATTTCACTCAAATCCGACTCCGAATCGATACCGAAATCTCAAAAATTCGTTTTTATGAGATTTCTAAATATTTCCCAAATTTAAATCTCAAAACACTAATTAAATGGTGAAAACAATGATATATTTGTGTATATTGACCAAATCCGAGTTAGAATCACTTACCCCAATATTTTTTCTTGAAAATATATAAAAATCGCCTCTCCTCAAGCTCCAATTCGTCAAAAATGGCAAATGGGACGAAGCCCCTTATTTTTATAACTTAGAGATCTATCCAGACTAGCCTCGATCCTGGACCTCGATCATGGAGTCCGATCATCGAGTCCCATCATGGAGTCCGATCATGGACCTCGATCATGGGGCTCGATCTTGGGCTCGATCATAGCCCAGAATTTCCAGCAGAAGAGAAATTGCAACAGCTGTTTTAAGTCTAACTTTTGATCCGTTAACCATCCGAAACTCACCCAAGGCCCTCAGGACCTCAACCAAATATACCAACAAGTCCTAAAATATCATACGAACTTATTTGAAACCTCAAATCACATAAAACGATGCTAAAACCACAAATTATGCTCCAATTCAAGCTTAATGAAACTTAAAATTTCCAACTTCTACATTCGATGTCGAAACCTATCAAATCAAGNNAAATCGTCAAAATTCTATTCCGGGATCGTTTTCTCAAAATGTTGACCGAAGTCAAACTTGGCCTTTTAAAGCCAACTTAAGGAACTAAGTGTTCTGATTTCAACCCAAACACTTCCAAATCCCGAACCAACCATCCCCGTAAGTCATAAACCATTAAAAGCACATACGAAAAGTTTTATTTTAGGGAACAGGGTTCTAAAAGTCAAAATGACCGGTTGGGTCATTAAATTCTCCACCTCTTAAACAAACGTTCGTCCTCGAACGGATTTAGAATTGTACCTGGAGTGCTAAATACGTGTGGATATCTGCTCCGCATGTTTTCCTCGGCCTCCCAAGTCGCTTCCTCGACTGATTAGCCCNTCATCCCCGCAAGTCATAAATCATTAAAAACACATAAAAAATTTTATTTTATGGAACGGAATTCTAAAAGTCAAAATGACCGATTGGGTCATTACATGGTCTGTCTCTCAAATTGCGTATAACGTGCAGAAAATCAACATATAAGATAGATGCTCATACGATCTCATGGATGGGAATAAATATTTGACTTTGATTTTAGCCAAAACGGTTATGATATGATAATCTACTTGTCCTAGTTGGTTCATTACACCAATTTAAAGACTGTCTAGTGCCGACTTGCAACTGCTTCTTTATCTAACACCTTTAGTTGGCTGGCAATTTTTTCGGGTTTTTGCTTTTTTCAAGAGAGAATACAAGTACTGGAATTCTAGCACATAATCCCCAACTTGTTAGGATCCATCTAAAAAGGCTTGTAGCTGTGTAGAAAAGTTTGACTAGTTCCATATACGAGTGTAAAGACATTACACTCATATAGTTTAAAACGAAAGTATATTTAAAAAAGGAGAAAAAAATCACTAATACTTTGCTTGGAGATCAGGATATGGAATAAAAAACGAAAGTATAATACAGTTTCGTGCTTATCTTAGTAGGCGTTTGGACAAAAATATTTTGTAATTTTTGAAAAAAGTATGATTTAGTTAAGTTAAAAACTGGTATTTGGAATTTGAAATTATGTTTGGACACGCATTTCATTTAGAAATAATTTTGCAGTTTTATGAGTGGAGAAAAAAATTGTCTGAAATTTCGAAATTTTATCAAAAACTTGCAAAATTTTATGGACAAATATATATTTTTTTTAAAGAAAATTAGAAAAAAAAAAATTTATGGACAAACGTTATTGGTTGGTTTGTGCACGGCGAAAGAGGGTCTCCGTTTATGGAGATAAAATAGATTTGGATAGGTAGTATTTTTGGGTCACTAACTTTTCTTACTTTTCCGTCTCATTTATTCTTATATTTTTGGGATTTTCACACAAATAGCTAGCTAAATTCACGTCATCTCTAGTTTTCATAGGTCTGTATTCTGAGTTTCTGACTTTTGAAGAAGCGCACAATGGGCTAAAAGCAGGCCCTTAATCAGTTGAGTTGACCCGCTAAATTTGCCATGCCTCGAGGCCCATGCCCACAATAAGGTTTCTGGTTCATCGCTTGTTGAGTGGAGGAATGTAATGCTCTTTTCACAGAAAAAAGAAAGGAAAAATTACGCGACCCATCAAATATTTACACTGTATTTACTATTTCTAGCTATAGTTTTAGTAAATTTACCATTTCTAGCTATATTTAGATTTTATAGCAAATTCATGAAATAAGAGATTAATTGTTTTGAACTGAAACAAGAGAGCAACAAGCTCTCGTAACTCAGTTGGTTAGAGCGCCCGCTTAGTTAGCAGAGGTCGGTCTTGAGTTTGACTCTTAGCAAGAGCATTTTATTTATCTATATTTCATCTTAGTTGTATTCGTTGCACGAATATATATAGTCGATATATGTTGTATCCTTTGTATATATCCTTGTATACAGTCGATACAAGTTATATCCTTTGTATACACCTGATTATAGTTGATACATATTGTATTCGTTGCACGTCTGAATACAAATGACTAATTTCGCAAAGTTATGGATAAATTTTGAATTTCTTTTCACGTCTCACTTACATGGCTATTTTAAAATGGTCGTTATAGACGAAATATGCCAAATAAAACTGTTAGAAGTAAATGATATATATGATGTTTAGGTAACAGTAAGATGTTTTATGAACAAACTTTAACGAAGGGCATGAGTGACTATTTTTTTTTTTTTTTTTTTTTTCT